GAATGCTTGTTTCGCCAAAAAGGGACAACTCAAAAAAATTCAAAGCGTACTGCATACCCTAGTTAAGACGATGCAAGAAATATGAAAAACCACACCCATTACTCTTTCGTATTCTCCGCTCAAGATATAGTTGCTATAGAATGGCATAAACTCTAAACAAAATCCAAACCCGTCGACCTGCTTTTCGACTTGAATAGAACAAACAGAAGGCTTGTGTGAGGGAAGAAAAGCTTACAAGACAACGGGAACAACAGTCAGAAACTTCCTGTTCCGTGTGAGCTGCTTGCCGTTGTCTATCTGCTCCCACCAGGTCAACCTATTGTAGATTCCCTGGTCATCAGCAAATGGTGTACCCTTCTGCCAGTGAAAGAAATGATATGTAACCTATAAGAAAGATCAGATTTTGGTTATTATTACCACCGTTGTTTTCTTGAAAGTATTTCCCAGGTGTAAACATCAACTCAATAATTCCAATATCACCGAAAACTGCAAATCTAAATGTCCATTGCAGCATAATTCAAGCTTTCAAGTCCTAATATAAGAAAGAATTAGACCGTCCTCATATAGACAACTTCTTAGAATCCCGTGAACAAGCATATCTAGAATAACCACACTTGCTCAAGAAAACACAACAAAATAGTAATCGATACATTCTTTCTCAAGCTGATCATCCAAATCCCAAAAAGCCCACCAACTTCGATCGAAAAACCAAACCCACAAGTTATCATCCAACCATAACAAACAGATCGACACCCAAAAGAAAAGATAATACATCAAACAAGGAAACCCCCCCCCCCCCCCCCCCCCAAAAGGAGAGGGAGAGAGAGAGAGAGAGATTACGGTGAAATGAGAGAGGTGAACGATGGTCCAGGCCATGCCCGGTGAGCAGCCGAAGATGGAAAGGACGATGAGCCAGGAGAAGAAGAGGATGAGGATGTAAGTGGTCCAAACGCCTGGATACGTGAACCACTCCGTGTTCCGATTCACATCCGTCGTTGGA